ATATTCTTGTTTTTAACTGTCATGGCTAGCTGAATCAAAGCAGCTGAATTTGATGCAAATATAATGTCATTTTGTTCAAGAATCAACTCATCCTTTTGGACTTCAGATACTGCACAAGAAATCTGGCCTCATGCATCCTCTGCAGATGTATTTTTCTTCTAAGAGATTTCGTATTTCAATAAATAACTCACTCTCCTGAATCAGTGATGGGGAAATGAGCACATTCAGACTCCATTCTTTGGTCACAGAGGTCTCTGTCACATGGAGTGTTGGTAGTAGGTGGCAAAAGATTGAACAGTAGCCAGTTCCTTAATTTGTCCAAACAGCTTCTCCTTCTACTTTCTACTTTGGTGGGACTGAACACCCCTGCAGAGTTTTTCTGGGGCTCCACTATAAATGTTCATCTCTTCACAGTGACACCCAGCTCTTTGGGGTGCTGGTCTGGATGCTGAGGATTGTCTTCATTCTCTCAGTAGATGCAACAATGTGTGAAAAGCAATTACGTATTTATTGATCTTATATTCTTCCAGCTTGCTAAGCTCTCGTGTTAGTTATTTTTTAATATTTTATTTTTAAGTGATCTCTACACCCAACGTGGGGCTCAAACTTACCCTGAAATCAAGAGTCGCATGCTCCACTGACTGAGCCAGCCAGGTGCCCCTAAGCTCCCTTGTTAGTTCTAATAATTTGTATATAGACATTGAAGTCTTTTAACAGTTTTTTTTTCATTTTTTAAAAATTAACATATAATGTATTACTGGTTTCATAGGTACAGGTCTGTGATTCAACAGTCTTATATAATACCCAGTGCTCATTACATATCATGCCCTCCTTAATGTCCATCAGCCAGTTACCCCATCCCCATCCACCTCCCCTCCAGCAACCCTCAGTTTGTTTCCTATGGTTAAGAGTCTCTTATGGTTTGTCTCCCTCTCTGATTTCTTCTTGTTTTATTTTTTCCTCTCTTCCCTATGAATCTCTGTTTTGTTTCTTAAATTCCACATATCAGCAAGATCATATGATAATTGTCTTTCTCTGATTGACTTATATCGCTTAGCGTAACACCCTCTAGTTCCAGGGTGCCTGGGTGGCTCAGTTGGCTGGGCGACTGCCTTCGCCTCAGGTCATGATCCTGGAGTCCCGGGATTGAGTCCTTCATTGAGCTCCCTGCTCAGTGGGGAGTCTGCTTCTCCCTCTGACCCTTCCCCCTCTCATGCTCTCTCTCTCATTCTCTCTCTCTCAAATAAAATAAATAAAATCTTTAAAAAAAAAGAATCAGTTTGTCTAGTTCCAAAAAACACTCCTGTTGGTTTTTTACTGGAATTACATTGAACCTGTGTATCAACTCGGGAAGAATTTACTTATTTATAAATTCAAGTCTTCTTGTGCACAAGAACAGGTATCTATTAGTTAAAGTTTTTCCAAGAAAGATGTAGAATTCCTTCAGACAGGTCTTGCAAACCTTTTGTTATTTTACTTCCTTAATAACTAGTTTTGTTACTATTATAAATGCTATCTTTTTATTTATTGTTTTTAAAGATTTTATTTATTTGTTAGAGAGAGAGAGCACAAGCAAGGGGAGCTACAGGCAGAGGAGCCCGACGTGGGGCTCGATCCCAGGCCCCTAGGATCATGACCTGAGCCAAAGGCAGATGCTTAACCAACTGAGCCACCCAGGCATCCCTTAAATGCTATCTTTTTAAAGGTGCATTTTCTGATCACTCATCAATGATATGCAGGATGAAAACATTTGTTAAAAATTTATGAAGAGTTGGGGTGCCTGGATGGCTCAGTTTGTTGAGCGGCCGGCTCTTGATTTTGGATCAGGTCATGATCTCAGGGTGGTGAGATTGAGCCCTGCACCAAGCTCTGTGCTCAGTGTGAGTCTGCTCATAACTCTCTCTCTCTCTCCCCTTACCCGCCCCCACCCCGTGCACACATGCACACACACTCACTCTCTCTCAAATAAATAAATAAATCTTTAAGAAAAAATTATGAAAGGTTGGGACACCTGGCTGGATCAGTGGGAGGAGTATGCAACTTTTGATCTCAGGGTCATGGGTTCAAGCCCCATGCTGGGTGTAGAGATTACTAAAAATAATA